GGGAGCCACACAGGAACATTTGCTTTTTCTGTATAGGTACAGAACTTGATACAGGAATCTCAGTTTTCTCTCTCTTAAGGGCTGGAGATCAGCAATACTTAAGGATGACGTGTAGCAGAAGCGTTGGTGTTTCTAATGACTCTTGCAAGTGTCTCACTGATGCATACTACTTGTGTTCAGAGCTGAAGTCTGGGAGGTTCCTTTATTTTTTCAAAAATAAGATAACCATTCAGGTTTTTCTGTGTTACTCTGGATTTGGTCAGGATTAACTCTGAAGTCATACTTGGGATTTACCTTAAAATTATTCAGTGGAGAATTTAGACCAGTACTTACTTAAATATTTTTTTTCTCCTTTCAGTAAAATTAAATTAAATAAAAGGAGAATTTGGAATAATAAAGCGAGTAGGAGATGCAACATAAAGAATTCAAGGAGAATCACAGTGGATTCGATTCCCTCAGAAACAAAAAAGTAGGAATGAAGGAAACAGAGAGGAACCTCTGAAATGTGTTTGTATATTATTTGTGATATTCCTCTATATTATCTATGATCATTTCTGGAATACTGGTTGTCTGTGAAGAAAACATGAAAATAAATCCAACAGAGAGGTGACTGTGAGAAGTACCTGACTATGAGACGTAGGTGAGTATGGGAAGTGCTGATGTTTCCTTATTTTACCATTCACACAACTCTCTAAATTGCTGGGTAAGACCAACCCTCAGGATTTTATCAGTGAAGCCAACCCCCACAAAGCTTAATGAGATCCTAGCAAGCTTAACAGTCTTTAAAATTCAGTTATGTTTAAGACTTTTTTTTTCTCCCTCCTACTCTCAGTCATCTTCCCAATCCAAACCTGACAACAACTGTGCATGTGACCTGAGTGGTCATCTAGGAAATAATTAGCATTTGTTTTTACCATTTAAAAGAGTAACCTTAGGTTTAGCATCATACTTTATAATAGGAGGATCTGTAAGTGTGCTGCAAACTGCAGGATTCTGTGTTCTGTCTCCTTCCTATTGATTTTCTGCTCATGTACGTTATGAATTGCTTCATCGCCTACTGACATGGACCCATTTTTGGCAGAGAATGCATTTCCCAATGATGCATAGCAATACCATAGCAAAAATAAGGTATTGTCCTTGATTTTCCTAACTGAAATTTCATGAGGAAATTAGGTCAACAGAATGTAATTACCTACACTGAAATCTCCTAAGGGCAATGGGTAGAGCTGTGCAAATGACTGATTATTTTGATTTGCTTACAGAAGCAAAAAAATTGGAGGCAAAAATCAGTCTGAATAGAGCAAAATGATTTCTTGTTCAACCTGAATTGAAACATGTGGGTTCTGAGCTGTTCTTCACAGCTCATTATGAGAATTAAAATAATGCTGATTTTTTAAAATTTTTTGGTTTTGGTTTTTTTTAGCTAAAAATCTGCACACAAATTCAACATTGCCATTAACTCCAGCAGCTTCTGAAGAAGAAAATCCAGGCTGATCAGAGTGATCTCTCTGGGTTTGCTTCTCTTAGAACACAACGTCCCTTTTGTACCACAGTGGGTTTCTTAGAGCACTCTTCTGGAGGTGACTAATGCAGCTTCAGGTACTTTTTATCTATGAAGGAGCTGATCCTTGCCTATTTTTCTGCTCAGAGGGACAGTCTGTCTTCCAGACTGGGCACTGAACTGGCTGTTGTAGCTGTTCTCATTTTCCAAAAAGGCACTGAAGATTCACTATGTTTCATCCATTTAGGAAAAAACAAAAACAAAAACAAAAACAAAAACAAACCACCAAATTTATCAAGTTAAACTTTAGTTCTGGTTCCTTTTTTATAAAAGCTCCATTAGGAAGTATTTTGACTGTCAAAACTCTGTTATTTTTTACTAATGCACAGTTTATAAAAACTGTGTAATCAAAAAGATTTCTTTGTGCCCAATGCCAGGGTATGCAAGACATGGCTAAATCCACACATCTGTATCTACTCAGCAGAGATCCAGGTGCTCCACTGGTTGGTCAGGCAAAGTTTGAGTTAAGTTTGGGTCATAGAAGGGTTGGTGCAAGGGATTATAAGGCCTCCTGATTTAAGCAGCTGAACAAGGAATGCAGAATTATGATTATGGAGTCAGGCATCTGAAATTTACCTTTCTTCTTTCTTACATGTTTAAGTCCGATTTTTGGATCTGGTTCTTTGCCTTTTCTCCTCAAGTCCCCATATACAAAAGACAATTACAGCAACTTTGGTACTGCTAGGTCATTAAATACATCAGAAAGTGAACTGCATATGTTTTCCTATTGCAATTGACATAAATACAAAAGTTGGATTTGGCTCAGCATATGCTCTGCTCTTGCACATCATTTTTGAAATGTAACCATGGCTGGAAGTATATATAACATTTAAACAAACAAACAAAAAGTTTTGTATTTTTTTTTACAAAAGGCTTGTAAAAATGACTTTAAGAATGTGATACGCTTCATGTACTTAGGAGGCTCTCTAATGTTGTTAAGTTATTGCTATATAAATTGCATTGTGAGGTTTTATGGGAATTCTTGTATTCTACAAATATTCTTTCTAAATCTTGCAGAACACAAAGATCATGTCAGTTTTCCAGTGGCATCTACAGAATATCCAAGAGAGACATTCTAAACTTATTCTTCTCTTCCTACAGGCTGCTTTTCTGGAGACAGTGACCACTTTTTGGCAATTCATCAGCGAAAGAGTGGAAAACCTGTGTTTATTTATCACCACGTGCAGAGTGTGGAGAAAAGTCTGGATACAGACAGTTATAAGAATTCCAAACAAAATTTCCATTCTGCTTCCCACACCAGGATAAGCAAGTTGCACCCTGCAATAATTGTTAAATCAACCTTCCCCAGATCTGCCTACAATCCATCCCTCAACCTTTTAGTTATGACTGGTCAAGATTTGGAGGTGGAAAATCTTCCAATTCCTGCAACAAATGTGATTGTTGTGGTAAGTGCCTTTTTCTGGGTTCTGGAGTTCGTTGGTGTTTGTTTGTTTTAATTAAATATGGCTGTAGATATATGTAGACAGATTGTGATGTAAGGTGTCCAAAGTCCATATTCCACTGCCTGGCTGATCATTTAAATCCAGGTAATGATCACATCTTGAATCTCTTCACTTTAGTGGAATTTGCATTCCCAGAACCTCAGCATGGTAAAGAAGCAGTCTGACGAACCAGTGCAGAATATAGCCTCTCTGTAGGTAAAGAACTTACATTTGCTTCAAATGCCGTTAATCCTCTTGTCTTGATTGATGTTTGCACTGCTTTTGCTGGATGGGTTTAAAACTTATTCTACAGAGGCAGGGAGATTTTAAAAGGCTGACACAAAGGTTTTGTTCAATTCTGTTTCTCCAGTAAATCCACCATTATGCTTACCTAGCTGTTTGAAAACAAGCCTGTTTTCTTGCAAAGAATAAGAGCTGTGTGCATAGGTAGCCCTGCTTGATTATGGGGAAGAGCATTGAGCTCATCCTTCTCCTTCCTGGAGGGACGAGCAACCATTCATAATGGCTCATACGCTCATTAGAGTGAACTAATAAAGATTAAATTGAAACAATGCGACTAATTACAATCAGCAGCTATTTGCCTAATTCTGTAAATTACTCTGTACAAAGCATGACTTTTACAAACAAGGAAAGAAGATAGAGCACACAACAATAGGGCATGTTAGCAAACAAAGTGTTTCAGAATTGCATACGAGTTCCTTCTACTGTTGGTACCTCTAGAGATCTGCCCTCATGAAGGCACCAAATGCAGTGAAGGCTAGTGACACAGAAAAGAATAATCAGGGAACAAAAAAGGGTAGTATTTTTTCTTAGCTTAAAGTTTTAACAGTTAAAAAATACTATTGGGGAACTAGGCTGAAAAAGCTGTGCTCTGGACTTGCTGCATCTCACATGAACAAGACCTTGTAAATTGATATTAGATGGCTAGCATAGTCAGTGGACTAGATTCAGTCGTATGTAAGTGTCCATAACAGAGCAAAATAACGTATTGACAGCCTTGCTTGACTGGGCACATGCCAACTGTACACAGAGTCCCAATACTAAATGGTACTGATCAGGAGGAGATGCCAAGCAAGCTGGACACATCTGTGCCCCATGATAGCCTAAGCTGCAGGACTAACTTCACAATAAAGGTACCTGCTTTTTTTTTTTTTTTTTTTTTTTTTTTTTTTTTTTTTTTTTTTTTTTTTAAAAATTTTTTTTTCCTTTTTGTGGGGGGGATTTTTTTTTTTTTTTTTTTTTTTTTTTTTTTTTTTTCGATATGAAGCATTATTTCCCTTCCTGTGAAGGTGAAATCTTTCTGTTAGTGCAAGGAACTCAGAATATGCATGGCTTCTCAATTTTTCATTAAAAGACACTGTTACCTATGGCCTGTTATTTTAGTAGAGATTTGCATGCTTTTGGAGACCTGCAGTCCTCAACTTGCAATGGAAGAATCCTGCAAAATATTCTGGGGCTACCCTGATTTTTATCTGACTGGCTTTGTGCCTGCACTACAGGCTAAATGAGACAGATTTTCAACTGACAGTCACATGAAAAAAAATCTATTAAATCTGCATTAAGTTCTCATTAAGTGACCTCAGTCTGAAGCCTTGCTACTGCATACTAGGGTGGAGCTGCTGCTCTGAAGCCTTCTGTTCTGACTGAGAACCATATGTGCTTTAAGAGGGCAGCATGAGCTAATCGTGACATGAAAGCTGTTTGTTGCTTGGGATCTTCAGCTGTCTATGGATGTGTTGTAGGACAGTGGTTTTGGTTTGCTTTTAATGTCATCCTTTCTTAGAAAGCCTTTGGGGAAGCGTATGTTAAAGTGCTGAGAGCAAGGCAGCTCGTTGCACTAATCCCACCATAAGAAATTTTGAAGGTGTCTTCCTCCAAAGAGCAGCTGTCCCACAGCAGGGTGGTTGCCATAATCCAAGTGCAGCCCTGCTCCTTCCAGGTCTCTGCACTTAAACGTTTTGTTTCTCCCTCTTGAATGTCACCTAAAGTAGAGTGTAATGTTAATGCCATTGCCAAGGCAGTCTGGTTTGTTTTGAATGCGCATGCATTGCTCCCTCTTTGTTTCAAACTAGCACTTACTGCTTGTTGCTTCTTTTTTGGGTTTTCTTATACAGGGCAAGCGGCAACATTTGTTGTTTTGTCCTGGCTGACCCTTCTTGTTCCAGCCTTTGGCAATATTGTTGGCTGCTCAACTTGAAAGGGCAATTGCTGGTGTTAATGCTTCCTGTAATCCAGTTACATGACTAGTGCACATTGTGATTTAGCATGAAAGCCAGCAACTGGGGTTATTTTTTTAAAAATAAATCAGTGCTGTTGCAGCTCTGCAGAGGGGAGAAAACTGAATTCAATCTAATTTCAGTGACTCGAGGTCCATTTTCTTCATGATCAAGGTGGAAATGTAGGGCAAAGAGATGCCTGATGTATAACTATTACAAGGTTATGTTTTATGCTGAGGACTGGACCATCTGACAAACAAAATGTTGCCAATGCTCAGCAGAACGATATGAAGCCAAGAATTCTGCACGTATTGTGTCAAAAAGTGGTGTTTTGTGACTATGAATTAAAAACTCATGCTCAGAAGTAATTTTACTGAACCGGGGGAAATTGTAGTGTTTGTTTGCATAAAGGAGGAAGAGGAGGCATTTATTTTCTGGGAGTGACTTTTATATAACTGAAGACTTTTGATCATATTACGCAGTATTAAGTTCCTGTTGTTTTTTTTTTTTTCTATGTTTGTGTTCAGTGCACATTGTTTATTGGGGGAAGTGAGGACAATCCAGAGCTCCTAGAACCATTTTGACTTCTATAAATGCCTTAGTGCTTATCTGTATGTTCTGGTTAGCTGTCTCTCTAAATTACATGAGACCAACTAATCTGAAAATGTCTTGGTTAAGATACAGAATTACATATTTTTTGGTAATACTTGAGAGTTTCCTATTTGTATGAGTTTTTTTTGGATCTCAGAAGGTATACACTCATCAAACATATTAGAGAGCTAGTAGTGAAATGAACAAGTGCTCCAAATGTTTGTGTTTATTCCAAGTCGTTACAATACTAAATATGAGCACCACCAAGGCCTAGGCAGTACATGTAAAGTAGAAATAGTCTTTGGGTAACCTCTTATGATTAAAAATGTTGTTGTCTAACACACTTGTTAAAAAAAACCAAACATACATACCTATGTATATATAGTTAGGGCTGAACTTGAGAGAAAAGCAGAAGGACTTGTAGTAAAAGTTACAGCTCAGACTAAGTTACCACTTCATGGAGGTGCTAAAGCATTATCCCTTGTAACCTGATCCAGTTTGGTCTGTCCAAAGTCTCCCTCAGGCACACCAATGTATTGTACTAAGATTGGACCAAGGTTCACACATGCTTTTTTCTCTTATATCCTGTGAAGTATTTCAGAAATGTAAAAGTAATAAACTTGCTCATTATATCAATATTTTTCCCTTTCACACCTCCTATACTCCTTAGAATCATAGAATTGTTTCAGTTGGAAAAAAACTTTAAGAACATCTAGTCCAACCATTAACCTAAGAGTTCCAAGCCCCCCACTAAATCATGCCCCTAAGCACCTCATCTACATGTCTTTTAAATACCTCCAGGGATGGCGACTCCACCACTTCCCTGGGCAGACTGTTCCAATGCTTGAAAACCCTTTCAGTGAAGAAGCTTTTCCTAATATCCAATATAAATGTCTCCTGGTTCAACTTGAGGCCATTTCCTCTTGTCCTGTGTCTTGTGACTCAGGAGAAGAGACTGACATCCACCTCTCTATAACCTCCTTTCTGGTAGCTGTAGGGGGTGATAAGGTCTCCCCTGAGCCTTCTTTTCTCCAGACTAAACTACCCCAGTTTCCTCAGGTACTCCTCAAAACACTTGTGCTCCAGGCCCCTCACCAGCTTCATTACCCTTCTTTGGACCTGCTCCAGAACCTTGGTGTCCTTCTTGTAGTGAGGGGCCCAAAACTGAACCCAGTACTTGAGGTGTGGTCGCACCAGTGCCAAGTACAGGAGCATGATCACTTCCCTGGTCCTGTTGGCCACACTATTTCTGAAACAAGTCAGGATGCTATTGGCCTTTGTGGCTACCTGGTCATGCTGCTGGCTCATGTTCAAGCAGCTGTCAATCAACATCCTCAAGTCTTTTTCTGCTGGGCATCTTTCCTATATATAAGCACCTTCTTATATAAATGTGAAAATCTGTCTCTTATTCTGTGGTTTAGAAAGGTCACGGCACTCTACAGTAGCCTAAAATTGAGTGCATCTCTTCAATTTTGTTTGGTTTACATGAGTGTTACTGAACTGAGTTGATTTAATTAGAGTTTCTCTTAGCTAATGTCAATAGGACATAAGATTCACAAACAGCCACACAGAGCTTCTCTTTGCCTTTTCCATGGCATTTTGTGTAAGGCTGGATGCCTCAGAGCTATAGCTCTGCCAGTAGCATTACATCTGTTTTGTCACCAGTGCTTGAACCATCTACCTTCAAGCACACTGAGGAGCACAAGGAAGAGCCTCATGTGCTAGCGCTTTGAGAGGGGATTCAGTGGGAGAGTAAAGCACACAAATGTATGTATCCATAAATAGATACCACATCTGAACTAGATATTCAGGCTTCCGTATAGGAAATCTATATTGTTGGTAGTCTATTAAGCTACTTTTCTAAACAATTTCTGGATTATTAGGGAGTTAATAAAGGTCGAGGACTATATTCAGTAGTGAGGCTGGGTGTGATCATCCTGTTTTGGAGATTAGCACTGACATGGGCCTTTTCTACATCAGTTTTCTCACTGCCAGAGAACAGTACCAGACATATTTAATCTACTAGTAGAATGTAGCCTTGAAGTCTGCTTCAGGGTGAGCTGAGTATCTTCAGAATCACAAATATGAGAAGATGTCTATTGATGATAGTGGGTGCTTAAGCACCAACTGCACCCT